GGGTCACTCTGGGGGTGCTTTTGGGGTCACCTCGGAGTCACCTTTGAGGTCACCTTTGGGGTCATCCTTGTGGTTGCCCTTGGGGACACCTTCAGGGTCACCTTTGAGGTCACCTCAGGATCACCTTGGGGGCACCTTTGGGGTCACCTTTGGGGACACCTTCAATGTCACCTTCAGGGTCATCTTTGTGGTGACCCTGCCTTCAAGGTTGCCTTCAGTGTCACCTTTGGGGACACCTTCAGGGTTGCCTTTGTGGTCACCCTGGGTGTCACCTTCAGTGTCACCTTTGGGGACACCTTCAATGTCACCTTCAGGGTCGCCTTTGTGGGGACCCTGCCTTTGAGGTCACCATTGCGGTCACCTTTGGGTGGCCCTCGGGGTCACCTTTGAGTTCACCTCCAGGGCCACTTTTGGGGTCACCACTGGGGTCACCCTTGGGGTCACCTTTGGGGTCACCTTCAGTGTCACCCTCAGGCTGCCCTCAGCGTCACCTTCAGTGTCACCTTTGGTGTCACCACTGATGGCATCCTTGGGGTCACCTTTGGGGTCACCTCCGGTGTCATTTTGGGGTCTCACCTTTGGTGTCACCTTCCAGATCACCTTCAGTGTCAATCTTGGGGTCCCCTTTGGTGTCCCCTCGGTGTCACCTTGGGGTCCCCTTTGGTGTCACCTTGGGGTCCCCTTTGGTGTCACCTTGGGGTCCGCTTTGGTGTCACCACTGATGTCACCTTGGGGTCCCCTTTGGTGTCCCCTCGGTGTCACCTTGGGGTCCCCTTTGGTGTCACCTTGGGGTTCCCTTTGGTGTCACCTTGGTGTCCCCTCAGTGTCACCTTGGGGGTCCCCTTTGGTGTCACCTTGGGTGTCCCCTCAGTGTCACCTTGGGTGTCCCCTTTGGTGTCACCTTGGGTGTCCCCTTGGTGTCACCTTGGGGTCCCCTTTGGTGTCACCTTGGTGTCCCCTCAGTGTCACCTTGGGGTCCCCTCAGTGTCGCCTTAGGGTCCCCTTTGGTGTCACTTGGGGTCCCCTTTGGTGTCACCTTGGGGTCCCCTTTGGTGTCACCCTCAGTGTCACCTTGGGGTCCCCTTTGGTGTCACCTTGGGGTCCCTTTTGGTGTCCCCTTGGTGTCCCCTCGGTGTCACCTTTGGGTCCCCTTTGGTGTCACCTTTGGGGTTCCTTTGGTGTCACCTTGGGGTCCCCTTTGGTGTCCCCTCAGTGTCACCTTGGGGTTCCCTTTGGTGTCCCCTCAGTGTCACCTTGGGGTCCCCTTTGGTGTCCCCTTGGGGTCCCCTTTGGTGTCACCTTTGGTGTCCCCTTGGTGTCACCTTGGGGTCCCCTTTGGTGTCACCTTTGGGTCCCCTTTGGTGTCCCCTTGGTGTCACCCTGGTGTTCCCTTTGGTGTCGCCTCGGTGTCACCTTGGTGTCCCCTTTGGTGTCACCTTGGGGTCCCCTTTGGAGTCACCCTCGGTGTCACCTTGGTGTCCCCTTTGGTGTCACCTTGGGGTCCCCTTTGGTGTCACCTTGGGGTTCCCTTTGGGTCCCCTTTGGTGTCCCCTCGGTGTCACCTTGGGGTCCCCTTTGGTGTCACCTTGGTGTCCCTTTTGGTGTCACCTTGGGGTCCCCTTTGTGTCCCCTCAGTGTCACCTTGGGGTCCCCTTTGGTCTCCCCTCAGTGTCACCTTGGGGTTCCCTTTGGTGTCACCTTGGGGTCCCCTTTGTGTCCCCTCAGTGTCACCTTGGGGTCCCCTCGGTGTCCCTTTGGTGTCACCTTTGTGTCCCCTCAGTGTCACCTTGGGGTCCCCTTTGGAGTCACCCTTAGTGTCACCTTGGGGTCCCCTTTGGTGTCACCTTGGGGTCCCCTTTGGTGTCCCCTCGGTGTCCCCTCAGTGTCACCTTGGGGTCCCCTTTGGTGTCCCCTCGGTGTCACCTTGCTGTCACCTTTGGGTCCCCTTTGGTGTCCCCTCGGTGTCACCTTGGTGTCCCCTCAGTGTCACCTTGGTGTCACCTTTGTGTCCCCTCAGTGTCCCCTTTGTGTCCCCTTGGTGTCCCCAACCAGGGTCGCTGCTCCACGTCCAGCAGGGATCGGTTCCCCCCAATCAAAAATTAGGAAAAAATCACCAAAACCCCAAATAAATACGGGAAATGTTTTAAAAAAAAGACTTTTTTATAAATAAAATTGAAAAAAAAATCAAACATTTAATTTAAAATTTAAAATTC